AATCTGGCAGAAACTAGGAATAGACCAACATCTCACAAGCTCAAAAGGGATATGTGATCTATCATCTATTTATCTATTCATGTATCCTTTAATATATTTGTTTATCTACCTATCTATTTTTCAGCGACAAGTCTCTTGTGGTCCAAAAATAGTTTGGCCAATAAGATACAGGTTTTGGAAATAAATCTTATAGTCTTTGCCATCCACTTCATACACCAAGTTGTGGTTTGTTTAGTTTTTTTGTTTTTTTTTTTTTGTTTTGTTTTATTTTGTTTTGTTTTTTGTTTTTTGTTTTTTTTTAAAGTAGATTTCCTTGACAGGTGGCTCTCGCCACTGGCACTGCCCCAAATGGAAATGGTAGCTCTTCTCAAACTTGATGTACTTCAGGAAGTATTCATACAGCCAAAGTCTGGGCTCATTTTCCATAATTTTCTGGCAATAGGAAGAAGGACCAGGCATCAATCTCAGTTTCCAATATCTTGTCCACGTACTTCACCTTGGTAATCACGTTGTGTTCTTTCTCTAGTGCTACCATTGTTGGAGTCAATTCTAGGTAGTTCTTCTGCACATGGGTGATCTCATGCTTGCATTTCTAGTTGTAGGTGATCTCACACTCAGGTTGCTCTGCCAGCTCACAGGTACTTCTTTAGAACAGCTTCTTTCATTGTCTTGTTCGAGACTAACCGATTCTGGTTCATCCATTCATCCAGGGACGGTTAAAGCCTGTGGAATGTATTAGAATTCTTCTCATTCTGGGTCATTCACACGGGAACGAATTCCCCCCCCCCCCCCCCCCCCCCCCGCCCCGTTGAGGGCCAAATATCATCCAGAGGGCAGAGGTAGATTTCTCCAATCCGGGCGGGTGGGGAGGCACAGTCTGGGAGAGACCAAGTCCCCTTAGTCGCTGTTCTTTCCCTACCCTCGGTCTCACCCTCCCCCGGGGCTCCAATCGTGGCAGCTGTTGCTGAGTTTACCTTTGCCTTAGAACCGGTTGGTAGGGAAGTGACGCTGAGTACATGATTTAGCCATAAAGGATGATGTCATAAGCAAGTAAGGGAACGGAGAAAAAATCGCCTGTCATATCTATGGATAGATCTATGGATAGTTCATGACCAAACAAGAGACAGAGAGAATCGTGGGAGGTAAAATGGATAATTTTTATTACGTAATTTTTATTATCTTATTAAAACCAAATGCAGCCAAAATTAGAAGGAAACTAGGGGGGAAATTGTTACAGCATGCTCCTCTGATAAAAGTCTCATTTTATAAACATATAGAGAACCCAGCCAAATTTATTTAAAAAAAAGTGCCATTCCCCAATAGTTAAAGGATATGAACAGGCAATTCTCAGAAGAAACTAAAACTCTCAATAGTCACATAAAAATGCCCTAAATCAATAAAAATAATGAAATCCAAATTTAAATAACTCTGAGGTACCGCCTCGAACCCATTAGATTGACTATGAAGACAGAGAAGCAAAATGACTAATACTGGAGGGACTATGGAAAAATAGGCAAATTGATGCACTACTGGTGGAGGAATGAGCTAGACCAACCATTTGAAGAACAATTTAGAAATATGCCCATAAAGCTATAAAA